CCTCCTGGGAGTGACGCATCATCTGCAGCAACTGGTTCTGACCCTCCAGGTGCTGGGCAATCTGTCGGATGTGGACATTAGTGACTCTCTGCTCCTGTAGAAGTCGAGCTGAGTTGAGGGCAATACGGCTCTTCAGCTCCTGGGGTTTAGCGTGACCCTGAGGCGGAGGCGGCGAGGAAGCTGAGGATGATGCCAACACCTCCACTGGGGTCTCAACGGTTGCCACCACAGTCGGAGTTGAATCGGTTACTGTTGTGGTGCAGTACTCTACTACGCCTCCGTCCTCTAATGCATGGTATGCTGTTTCCGCTGGAAAATGAAGCAAAGAAAATGATACATTTCAGATTAGCTTTACTCACCTTGGTTAAGTGAGGTGTTATTTTCACTTCGAAAAGGTACAGCAGCACAATACCGTATTAAAATGTGTATTTCCATTTGGGGATCCTTAATTAAATCGAGCTAGCCAAGGCTACTAACGACGGCTACTAAATTTGAGCCCCCGCCTCTGCCTGTGTCAAATACTCATCTTGGTCACGTGATACAGGGAAAAGTAATAAGCCCACAAGCTACCAAAAGTGAAAAAAAGAAAGCTGTCGAGACATGAAAGATGCAATGCCGGATGGTCAAAATACACTTTGGACGGCATCATGTCTGCCATACAGTATGTCATATGACCTACACACATAAGGACAATGTTGTAATTAATATGTCCCCCTACCTAAACCAGCATGATGACCACAGTGCTGCTTAGGTCCAGTGTCTCAGCAGCTTAATTTACGAGCACGGACTCGGCTCCCATTATGGACATAACATCGCCTGCGCCGTGGATGGCGAAGATTTGAGAGAAAGCAGATATCCTCCCTTCGGCAGTTAAACTCATCTAAAATACACGGCACAGCATTGTTTTTTAATGTCACTTGCGTGGCGTGTCTCATCTCCATGGATAAATCACTTCCTCTCCCAGAAATGCACACGCGCGTGTGCCTCCCTGCCCTCATGAACACCGGGGTCTTGATAAAACTTGGCTCAGTACCTGTTTCGCACAAATTTTGGAATAACATGCCAGTGTGCACCTTGTTTGCTGTTTCGGGTCAACCCTTTGAAAATGTTTGCTGTGCTTTATGGCATTGTTTCTCTTTGCGTACTCCTTGTTGTCCAATGTGTGTCTATTGTCCAGCAATAAATTACATACGTTAAGTTTTGTCGGACCCAACATAAACATGTCAAAGTGAAATATATCAATACAGAGGTGTATTTATAATATTCAATGAAGCTGTTAGGCGTTTTTCCAAGCTAAATTAATTGATTACTGCCAATTAACCCACACATGTAAAATTAACTAAACCTTCCTTTAAACTATCCATCCATTTTCTAATTCACTTATTGTCATAAGGGTCGCGGGGCGTGCTGGAACCTATCACAGCCGTCTTCGGGCAGTAGGCCGGAGACACCCTGAACTGGTTGCCAGCCAATCGCAGGGCACACACAGATGAACAACCATCTGCGCTCACAATCACACCGTTCCTAATTTAGAATGTTCCATTAACTTGCCATGCATGTTTTTGGAAGGTGGGAGGAAATCGGACTAACCGGAGAAAACCCACAAAGGCACGGGTAGAACATGCAAACTCCACACAGGAAGGCCGGAGCCGGAATCAATTAAAGTGTTTGGAGCCAGATGTAGTTTTGCCAAAGACTGAACTTAACTTCATGACTGTAAACTCAGCCTTCACAGCGAAGTGTGAAAAGTTGAGGGGACATAATTATGTCTTTTGTCAGTTACTTTATTGAGTAGAACATTTCAAATTAAATAAAAAGAGTGTTATAATTAACATGAAGTTCATCCACATTGACTAAGACAGGAATACAATTTCAGAAATACCGAGGAATACTGATGACAGAGACAAAAACAACTTACCATTCAGTGTTTTTGCTTCATCACAAACTGTTACGGATACTGCCGGAAGAGCTAAAATACAAAGAGACATAGAGTCAAGAAATGATCATCATGGCGCAAGGACTCCTTGATAAATAAAATAAAAATGTACAGCAATGAATAAAAGTAACAGTTTCCCATAAAACTGTTTACGTTACAAAGATATGGTATCACTACCAAACAACAGTCTTTATAACACACACACACACACACACACACACACACACACACACACACACACACACACACACACACCAGAGCCGAGAAGTCATTGTTTATCATACCATCCACAGTCAGAGTCTCATGAAATAAAATACACACATATACTGATCTGGCACAAGACTCTCAGAATACAAACAGGAACAAAAATAAGTCAAATGCAACAGCTTGAATTGTGACAAATCAAGACTTTGTGTGCCATTGTGCTTTTTAAATATTTGAATGAATGAGCCATTGATCGTTGCAAAATGCAAAAAATTCTGCCACATGTGACAATTGATTACTCTGATTGCCTGTTAGCGAGCAAATCAGTGCATGAAATAGAAGTAGACTATGAGATTGTACACAGGACCAAAGCCACTGCAAAGAGAATATTGTGTCGTAAATTAAGTTCCGCGAACTGTTGCTTTTTTTGTTTAGATTTGTTCCTACTTGATTATGCGTGCGATAGGGATTGTTCTGGATATGAGTGAAATTTGTTTCATGTAACCCTAACTGAGATCGTATGATAAAGAATGACGGCCGAATGCACGCAGGGCTGTTGTGTCACCGCATTGAAAAGTTGCTGGCTATGCCCCTGATGTTGTCCTTTCATCCATTCCAAAGAGACTCAATAATTTTGCTTTCAACAAAACTTTGTTCCTACTTGATTATGCGTGCGATAGGGATTGTTCTGGATATGAGTGAAATTTGTTTCATGTAACCCTAACTGAGATCGTATGATAAAGAATGACGGCCGAATGCACGCAGGGCTGTTGTGTCACCGCATTGAAAAGTTGCTGGCTATGCCCCTGATGTTGTCCTTTCATCCATTCCAAAGAGACTCAATAATTTTGCTTTCAACAAAACGTAGAAAGGGTTCCGTCAGTCGTCATCTGTACTTGTGGGTAAAAAAATAAAAAACAAAAACCAAAAAAGGACGTTTCGCTTCTCTCACAGAAGCTTCGTCAGCGGTAGACAACTCTGAAGTCTCCGTGAAGACTCCGGGAAATTGCTCTGCGCTAAAAAGCTGAGCGTGGCCTATTTGATGACTGGGTGGGGATGGTTCGTCACACCCCTATGGTGAAGAGGCCCATTGATTTCTAAATTCCCTATCGTTGGGTCTTGATTAGGCCTATTATTTGGGCTAGGGCTGAATAGCTACTTTCAGTTAGCCTGATCAGCATGTCTATGTCCCTTGGTGGTCAACAAGTTATTGTAAATAGGAGATAGGTTAAATCTGATACCTCCTTCGCGGTTCAGAGAGGGTGAAAATTTTTTAACAAAAATCGCTTCCTTTACTCCCCTTTCAAACCATCTCTTTTCTGTTCCTAGGATTTTTACTTGTTCATCTTCAATTGTGTGGTTTGTTT